AAACATATCTCAGGAAATAAACACGTCTCACATCTATATAACATTTCAAGATCCTGCAAAGAGATTTGAGGAATTATGCACAACTTTATGACATAATGGCTGTATATTTCTTAGCTCAGCATTTCCCAAAAAGGCTTATCTTTTTAAGACAGACAAAAAAGAGAGAAAAATGAAGGCATGTTTGATACACCATTCTCAAAAAAATTCACGATAAAGTGTTCAAGGGCCAGCTCTCCTGCTGTGATGCTTTATGTAATATATGACCATCACGTTTGGCAAGATTTGCACAGGTCTGCCCTTGATTTGTGGAAGGAAAAAGCAGAAAACCTCACAACTATTCTTCATTCCCAAGAATTAATCTGAAGTCTGCTCCCTGATGTTTCCAATTTTACAGTGATCCAAATAACCCCCCAAAACCACACCTGAAGCATCACTCACAATTATAGCTGAGGGAACCAAAGTGAATTCCCTCCCAAGGCATCCCAGGGCACTCTCCATCACAGCAGTGGCCCTGCAGCGCTGCGAGATGGGCCATCAGAGGCTCAAATTTGACCTGCAAGAACTGATGCTAGGATATGAACCAGCTTTGAGAGGCTTTTATCTGAAAAGATAGTGAAAAGTGTCACAAATATACACGATGCTACAAGCCCCAGAAACTATTACACACTATTGAAACTTCAAAGAAACTACAGACTTCTGAACTTCTTCAAACCTACAAGAAAGCAAGTGGACAGCTGAATGGGCAGAGCTTCAGCGCCTACTTGAGCTGTACAAAATGGATGGCACTTCAACCGATTGCTTCAGTTTGCCCTCAACCACTCCCTGAATGGTCCACGCACAATTATACTAGCCTTCCTGTTACACCTTTTCCAGTACTTCTGCAAAAGGGATTGAGACTTGGCTGAAGTAGATGTAATTTGACTAGTCTAACTGCTCTTCAATTCTCAGCTGAGCTTATCACAGCTAGCCAACAAATACAATCGTTTCATCAGGCCAGAGAATTTTGGGATATACTTTACCCTAACAGCTCAAATACATCATTCACAATGTAACAAGTACGCATAGACACAAGCACTATAAATGCCTATAAACATAGTGTTTAGTAGATCTAAACATAGTAGAAGATACTATAAACAGTGACGAGAAAAGGTGGTCAGATCCCCATAGTTTACTAAGATATTAATTCAATATTGAAATGCCAATTAATAAAGAACGATCAAGTAATTTACTCTGTCAGATTATTCATTATCCCAATTTGAATTCTGTATATCACATCACTAGGAGAACTGCAGTTTATATTTTGCTGCCTGGGGAAAGTATTGTACCCTTAGGAAAGAAAATAATTTTACCTATACTTACTGCATTATATGTATCCTTTTGAACACATGCATATCTAGAACATTCACAAATGTAGCTGCATATGCGGACCTGCAGAAAACAGGTGTGTTCCATCTCTGCACCCAGGCATTTATGGCTACACATTACAGGAGTAAACATTTATCTTATACCAAATACATGAAATAGAATGTGAACAGGTACAAAAGCCTCAAATTAAAATCACCCTGAAATAACAAGCCATACAGGCCAATCAAAATCATAACTACATTCACCAGTGCACTTGATCAAATTTTTTAAAAGGTAACATTTGCATTTTAAGATATACTTGCTCTTTAAACAACTCCATGGAGGAGGAGGGGTTTTTCTTAAACAGCTCTTATGAAAAAATTGCCTTTGTATACCAAGGCTAATTGACTGGAGCTTTAGACTTTGTTTGGCTTTTTAACCAGTCAACACCTACTTATCAGATTCATATAAGAACAAGATTTGATATTCTCCGCTAATATTTGTAACTTCCTTACACATACAAAACAAAGTAACCATAGCAGAGAAAAACTTTAAATGGAAATACTCTCCTATCAGAATAAATGCACATCAGAGTCATGTTACCTCCGCTACTCAATGTCAAACTGTTTGCTTTACTTGCAAGGTTCACCATGGCGTTTACATAGAACAACTAAAAGCTCCCCAAATCTTGCCATGACAGGGAAACCTCAAGCTCTCAATTGTGAGGCAGGGGCATGTCTCCATTAGATGCAGAAGTAGCATCATGAGCTTTTACTGGAACAATGAATTTTATGATTCATTTTCAAAAGCAAACCCTAAGGAACTTCCACAGAAAATAACAATTCCTTTACCTCACAAGAACAAAAGAAAGAAAAAAAAAGCCCCAGATACTACCACTACCCCATCTTCCTTAATCTTATGAAAGAAGCAATCATACAAGGACACATTGTCAAGCCCATTTTGGAAAGGGTCCCTTGAAGGTATCCGTCTCCTGTACCAACCAGATCAAAGCAACTCTGTATCTAAATTTGCCCGGGAAGGAAAAAGCTGCCAGACGCTCATCAGTTTGGCTGCTTTTCTCCATCCCTCTCCATTCACTTTGTTTCTTTAGGGATTTACTTGAACACATCATAGTGCTGGAGAGTCAAACTTCTATTTGCAACTGCGCGCCTCCAGGTATTTTATGGCTCAATCTGTAACGTCAAACAAGCCATTTTCATTCAGGTGGATTTGCCTCTCCAGCGATCCATGCAGCGACAGCCAGTCTAATTCACTAAAGAAGCAAACCCCAATGAGAGAACACATCCAGCCCTGCGTGAACACAACAGTCAACATTAAGAAAGTCATAGGAAGAAATAAGCCAAGGAAATGAGGAAACATTTTAGACATGGGAAAGATAACAACTAGCCATGGCAGCAAACTGATGAGAGCAGCAGATTGCCCTTTTTGCTTATGCCCCGGAAGGCAGGATCAGCTGTACCAGCACACCAGTGGCGCAGGCAGCCAATACTCACTTCCTCCTGTTCTTGCAACTGCTGGAGGCTGAGCTGGAGAATGCAGAGCACCTACTGACAGGCAGAAGCAGCTGGTATCCTCTCTTTTTCACTTTCCCAGCAGCTCAGCAAGCGTAGGATGGGCCACAACACAGACACACATACATTACTGAAAGCAATGTGTTGAAGTACGCAATATTAAAATATTAACATTTTAAGGCCTAGTAAAAGAGAAGTAACAGTTCTCAGCTAACTGGTTTTCATAAACTGCTCATAGTGTGTAAATGTTTTATAGCAAGTGAACAGCACAGAAGAGCTATACACTAGACAAGGTTTTTTCTTTCTAAATTCAGGATGTTCAGCCGTACTACTTCCATTTGGTAGACCCATTCCCATCACATGACTTGAAAGCTCCAAATATAGCAGTTAACATCAAAAGCCACAGGAATGACTTGTGTTCTCTAGTGATCACGCCACTCTGATAGATTTCCAAAATAATACTGAAAAATAAAACTCTAATATATTCTCTTTACTGAACCACATTAATTATAAGTAGCTGCTTAACACTAAAATTTAATTTTGATGTATCACATTGTCAGACCAAATACTTCACAAGGTTTTATTACTATATCACTTGCAATAATAATCAGTATGTAACAACCAAGGTTATAAAGTATACATAACACTACACTGATGCATAAATAATGTATCATTTCCTGAACTTGATTCTGACATAGAGTTTCAGCAACACAAACCTGAAGAGAGGTTTGCTGTTGATTTCTCCATTTTCCATACAGGAATACATGAGATAACACAGTACCATATGAAGCATGTGAGGGTCAAATTCCATGTATTGGAAATTTTCCAGAAACCCATTATATTAACCAGATCAAGGCAAAATTAATATTTTGCACTGTAAATTAGACTTGCCTATAAACACTGGGTGTGGAGGCATTGATGTTCTGGACAGAAATCGGTACTTCTCTTCATAGTTTTTCACGGTTAGATCTCAGAGGATAATTTTTAAGTCAAGCATCAAGCTTGTTTTGTGGACTTTAATACAAATTCCCTACTATGTATCATTTAATGTATCATTTCATCAGATCAGCTAATTATCTTTCACATCTCAATGCCTGAACTCAATAACTTCCAAACTGTAGAAATTCTCCTGGAATAAGGTTCAAAGCCTATCTTAAATAAAAAAGAGATATAGGACAACCATTTCTTTCCAACTTTAAGAAAAAAGTCACTGATGTAACTGTACAGTAATGATTATAAGAGATCTGTCAAATGAGACAGCTACAGCTTTCTCCAGTGGTCTCCTATGCTACATCTAAGTACGTAAGATAAAAATCATCTTTGGTGAGGATTCTAGATTCACTATTACCCTGTCAGACAATCTATCCTTACCCATTTAACCCACTACATATGCATGTACAGAGTGTTAATAAGACCAAACCACACTCATCAAATTATTTGAGTGTGCAACCAGACGATGATATCCCTGCTGATACAGAATTCCACTCCCAGGCAATGGAACTTAGTGTGAAGAGCTACATCTAGAAACATGAACAGGAATGGGCTCACGGGTCTCAAATGTTTTTGCATTTAACCTCCACACTGGAACACATGGCAGAATTTCGGTAATACAACTGAATGCTCTTGAAAAACTAAACTGTATTTTACAGAGCTAATCACCCAGATATGCCCAGTTTAAAAAAAGAAAAAAAAGAAAAATAAAAATCACAGCACGCTACTATTTGATAGTCAAACATGCCAAACATTCATAACCACACTATATAACCTCGCTATGGTTTGTGAATATAATGCTGTGAATAGCACAGAAATAGAATCCAGAAAGGATAATTATCCTTCTATTTTCTGACTCTGTTCAAAACAAGCTATAACGACCTACTTGATTTTAAATAAGTAAAATACAGCCCTTGTGAGGAAAGTGCTTCAAATTCTATTGTTTTTTCCTCACCATAAATAGTAAATATTTCATGGATGCAACTGAAGTCAGTAGTGCATCCTCTGGTAGGAAAGGAGAGAGCCATCAGCTCTTTGTGGTTAGAGATACATTATACACCCTGTAAGAGATACAGTGAAATATAAGTGTAATTACTTTGATGGTTTTAAAACAAAATTGAAGATTAAACTCACTTGTAAATGTTGAGAGTTGTCAGTCATATTGTCCTCTCGCCTACGAACTTCTTCCAGCAACTGTGCATTCTTCTTTTTCTCCATTTGCTGATTGTGCTTCAGATTGGCAACCTTCTTGTTTTGGTCCTTCATATGTCTAAGAATTGTATACACATATGCACTCGTGTTAATAACTGCAATCACTTCTTTTTCTCTATAAATTGACTTGTGACTATGACACAGGACAATGATTCTCCAACAGATACAAGTATTCCAAGTATCAGATGTAAACAATACAGCTTCACCTTGTTTTCAAGATGGCATATCAAACCAGCTTTAATAACACCAGATTATACAATGGTAAAGCAATTATTTGGGCCACCAAGATTTTTTTCTGTTTTATCGTTTGCTCACAAATATACATGTTATATATACACTACACAGAAAAATTGTTGTTATAACAGAGGGAGATTATCCAACAATCCTTACACACTCAGTCAGTTTGGGAACAATTTTAATGGGTGCTTTAAGTAGCATTAATTTCAAAGGAAGCAGAAGGCGAAGGTGATGACTAACATACGTTGTGAAATTCTATTTTGGAAAACCTGGACTATAAATACAACATTTCTAAGGATTAAAGTGTGAGGGGGTAGAAGGTCAGATCATAAATATGCCATGAAGAATAAGGGATACCTTTACAAATAGCTTTGTGCATAACAAAAACATTAAATTTCTACCTTATTTAATAATGAGACTTCTTTCTACAGAAGACCATCAACAAATAGATTTACAAGTAACTTCTAATGAAAATGAAACAGCCTACCACCGTTATCTATTTTCTTTTGTTAAGACTGTACTCAAGTAAAAAAAAAACAAAACTAAATTCTTTCAAGGTTTAATTATCTTTTGCTGTGGATCTTATTCATTAAGTTACCAGAAACTTTCGTGATTCGGATACTTAGCATACACCCTTTTAAGAAAGAAGACAAGCTAATTTTGCCTGGTAGGCACTGAAAAAATATCCTTCCAGTAATGCTTTCTACCTGCTTGGATTCTTAGCTATTATTTTCCCGACTTTCATTGACTTTGAGGAATTTGCTTCCTTTTATGTATATAAAAATAAAGTCATGTGCAAATTCCTAATGAGATCTACGCACTAATCCTAATTTGGGAAATGAAGAGAATATTATTCAATGCCCAAAAGGATCACTGAAAATGTCTCTGTTGCTTCCACATTAGATCTTGCAGTGAAAAAAAATAAAGCCAGAGAATACATTTCTTGCACTGATTTTATTATGCTAAAGAAACTAGGTCATTTCATATTTCCTTCTATCAATGGTTTCTTTGTTCCTACCACTGTTTTTTTCACTACTTATTTATTGTGAAAAATTAACAATGAATCTCTAATCAATAGATGTGGATGCAGTATTGAAAATTCTTAGAAGACACTTCACATACAAGTTTGTAGGTACAGTACCTAACAGAAAAGCTAATCTATTATTACTAAAAAAAGTAACTTCAACTTGCCTAGAAGAATAAAAGTGGGTACAACTAATTCAAATACAAATCTTCACTTTTTAAAATAATCTACATCAAGCTCACAGATAGTTTTTTAAAAATACAAGTATAAACTCCTCTGTTTGAAAAACACATTTATCCTGTAGCTGTGTTCAAGAGTTTGCATCAGCCTGTTACACACAGGCACAAAAAGGTAGATTAGCCTAACTGATCATCTGTTTCCAGCATTTGTCTTTTGCATTAATTTTTTAACGTTAGAAATAAAATTTGTGAAGACTGTACATACCATAAAGCTAAAAGAATCCCCAACAAGACATTGTTACCAGAAAATAGACTAGTTTGAGAGAAAAAAATTATCAAAAAACATTGTTTTGAAATTTATTTTAGTACAATGATTTCTATATTACACAAAACGGTGCTTGGAAGATGAACAGCTGAGCTTCTCCAGGTGGAACCAACTCTAGTCAGGAGTTAGAATTCTGCAGCGCTAGAGACTTTGAGATCTTAGCCTGTATCTTCCTTAAATATTCTCAAATATTTTTTACATTTTTTTGTATTTTTAATATTTTTTATAGTACCCAGATATAGTTCTAATAAACCACACACCTAAAGAGACTCTTTCCTCTTTAGACATACCTTTAACAAAATGACAAGACTCCTAGGAAACAACACCTTTTTCCCAGCTGAAAGAGACCATCAGTACAGCACTACAGCTGTCGTTTGGTAGATTTTTGCCATCATGTTTAAATCCCCAAATTAAGTTCACTTGAGAACAAAAAAAATACACTATACGATGGTCAGAAGAAACCTGCCTACATGAGGCCTACCTCAATAGGCCTGGCAGCATAGCATAAACCACCAGTACTTTTTTCATAGTGTTGTAAGAAAGGTTAATTTTCTGCAAAACACAAGAGCCTACCACAGCTAACCAATAATAAAGCAACATGACAGTGTGAAAAACAGCAGGAGTATTTCTGTCAAAGTTACACTGAGAGATTAATAAAAAAACAAGCAGAAATTGCCTGCTCCAGTTTAAACTTGTTTCTAGGTCTTGAAGAATATGATGGGTTTAGCTATTGAGTTGTCTATTTTTTACTAAATTTCCTCAAGAATTTGAGTGATGCCCTTTGTCTTTCTAAATCAACTATTCACATATACATTAGATGCTCTGTGCAGCTCCAAGTGAAAATTAGTTCTCTTTCATGGGTCGATGTTGCATAATTGTAAGAATAGACCTAATCAGCATAAAATGAAAATGACTTTCACAACTTCATATATAAATGTGGTATTTGGCAGAAATTTTGGCGGTGTATTATGACTTTGTGCTGTTAAAATATAAAATGGTTTTCAATCTAATGCTGAGTAAATGATAAATTAATTTATATTTAATCTCTGTAAGAACTTCAATTTTATGCCAATGCTAACTGCTTCTTTCATCACCCTTCCCCTCTCACAACTTCCCATTTCAGTTTCTGGCTAATGCCACACTGAAAAGTAGAACATGGTAAAGCTGCAAAGGAAAACATCTGGTGCCTGTGATATGCAAAATCTTGAAGAGAAGGAAATAAAAGAAAGCTGTGTCATAGCCTCTCTTTCTTCCACAACTAACTACATGCCTATGGAAACGGAAAGAAAATGCTACAATTAAAAAGCCTAGCTGAGTAGTTTCCTTTTAGGCCTGCATTTAAGATACAGGAGAAGTTCACTAGAGGAAATAAATGCAAGAACACATTCCCCACCTTTTTTTTTTTTTTTTTTAATAGCAAATACATCAAATATAAACCTCGATTCAGAATATTTTTGAGTATGCTTCCTCTGGTATTTTTTCACATGGCTCTGTTTCTAAAATGCTTTTGAATAAAAAAGATTAGGATAAGTAAAGATTATGCATGAGAAATAGAAAAAATATTTGGGAAAGGTACACAATATCATATGCCATTGCCATATAGGATACAAAATATCCACACAGTTTACTAGTAGCTATGCTGATACGCATAGCAGAGTCTACATTATACTTTATCATGAGGCATTAGTTTTAAGTGTTCTGCTACACTGTTTCAATTTAAAGCTATAAGACCACAAAATTCATTAGACAGAATAAAATAAATAAAACATTACTGTTTAAGGCATATGTCTTCAGAATCTGAAACGTATGCTTCAGGGGTCTGGGCATTAGAATTGATCTTACCCTCACTTGTTAACCATATTCTGATACTAAAATATATGCAAAAGCATTATGCTTGATAGCCCAACTACCCCAAAGCAGTAAGACGAAATCCACAACTTTCCAATTTTCCATATTGTTACAGTTCATTTTGAAGTTGGGTATCTATTATCTTATAGTGAGCTAAATTGTTTAATCACTGAGCTAGGCATTACAGTCATCTCAAACTAGTTAGTACAGAATACTATGCTGTGTTTGTAATTTTCAAACCTTCACATACCTGGAAAGCCAGCCTTCAAACTAGTTCTAAAGCACCCAAGCCCAGAGCACACTGAAGTGGTGCCAAGACCACATTTGGCTTAAAGAAACCATGTTCTGAGCTCATAACATTTAAGAAGGAAACAAGCAGTCTAAAAAGCAGCGTAGATGACTAACACCTTACACAGATGCTTAATCTTTGCCAAACATTAAAATGGCTGGTTAATGACACTTTTTCAGGTGACAAATTTAAATTTCTGTTTGTGTTCCTATGGTTATAGCCAGTCAGCAACTGTCATAAAACATCTAGCAGCTTCATCTACAGACAAAAAGAATTCAGAGTGGAGCTAAGTTGTCCTCATAATGGAGCTAGAATGTAAGCACATCTTGAATAGTTTAAAAAAATAGTTACAAACTGAAGGACTTCATAGGCATCTTCCAACTCATTTGACCATTCAATATAGAGAAGCAGTGTCCAGCAAACACCCATGCCACATAAATACTAGATGACAATGATACTGGAAGTTAATAAAGAACAGATGAAGAACACCAGATATAAGAAAAGAATCTAAATAAAATTTGATTCTTCTAGTACATTAGACAATGTTTCATTCCTAATGAAGAGAAAAAGATTATATAAAGTAATATACTTCTCTAGAAACTACCTTACTGTACATTACACTGAGTTCATGAATTTTTTTAAACCTAGATCAAGCCCTTGCTCTGAACTATAAATACACAGTAGACTGTAGCTATGCTACTCCATTAAAAATTGGCCAGTCATAACTCCCCATTCCTCTTCCTGAATCTTCCTGACCTGGGATGATTTTCTATAATCTTTTTCAACACACAGAATGCTCCACAGCCATTAATTTATACCTCAAGTGGGCAGTAGACTTAAAATCAGCTATCTAAGCCATAGCAATGCCCACATCTGTTTTCCTCAATATCCAACAACTTTTTCAGAAAAATGGCCTTAGACCACCAACGCAGGAATCAATAGACTGTAGCAGCTCTGATTTCTGATGCTGTTGAAGAACCATTGAACTACGACTGCTAAAAATTTAGGTCTACCTAGAATATCATAGATCCGAAGAAAACAGGTGAAGGGAAAAGGCAAAAAATTCTTATACAGCCCCATAGCTTTGTCTTTTATGAAGTCCAGACCAAAGAACCTAGAGCCCCTTGATTTTGCTGTGCAAATAACAAGATGCCCT